AATAGTAACTAACGCTAAGAGTCCCATCGACTAAGTTAGATTCAAATGTAAATAGTAACTAACGCTAAGAGTCCTATCGACTAAGTTAGATTCAAATGTAAATAGTAACTAACGTGAAGAGTCCTATCGACTAAGTTAGATTCAAATGTAAATAGTAACTAACGCGAAGAGTCCTATCGACCAAGTTAGATTCAAATGTAAATAGTAACTAACGTGAAGATTCCTATCGACTAAGTTAGATTCAAATGTAAATAGTAACTAACGCGAAGAGTCCTATCGACTAAGTTAGATTCAAATGTAAATAGTAACTAACGTGAAGAGTCCTATCGACTAAGTTCGATTCAAATGTAAATAGTAACTAACGTGAAGAGTCCTATAGACTGAGTTAGATTCAAATGTAAATAGTAACTAACGCGAAGAGTCCTATCGACTGAGTTAGATTCAAATGTAAATAGTAACTAATGTGAAGAGTCCTATCGACTAAGTTAGATTCAAATGTAAATAGTAACTAGCGCGAAGAGTCCTTTCGACTAAGTTAGATTCAAATGTAAATAGTAACTAACGCGAAGAGTCCTATCGACTAAGATAGATTCAAATGTAAATAGTAACTAACGGAAAAGTCCTATCGACTAAGTTCGATTCAAATGTAAATAGTAACTAACGTGAAGTAGTCCTATCGACCAAGTTAGATTCAAATGTAAATAGTAACTAACGTGAAGAGTCCTATCGACTAAGTTAGATTCAAATGTAAATAGTAACTAACGCGAAGAGTCCTATCGACTAAGTTAGATTCAAATGTAAATAGTAACTAACGTGAAGAGTCCTATCGACTAAGTTCGATTCAAATGTAAATAGTAACTAACGTGAAGAGTCCTATCGACTGAGTTAGATTCAAATGTAAATAGTAACTAACGTGAAGAGTCCTATCGACTGAGTTAGATTCAAATGTAAATAGTAACTAACGGTTAGATTCAAATGTAAATAGTAACTAACGCGAAGAGTCCTATCGACTAAGTTAGATTCAAATGTAAATAGTAACTAACACGAAGAGTCCTATCGACTAAGTTAGATTCAAATGTAAATAGTAACTAACATGAAGAGTCCTATCGACTAAGTTCGATTCAAATGTAAATAGTAACTAACGTGAAGAGTCCTATCGACTAAGTTAGATTCAAATGTAAATAGTAACTAACGCGAAGAGTCCTATCGACTAAGTTAGATTCAAATGTAAATAGTAACTAACGCGAAGAGTCCTATCGACTAAGTTAGATTCAAATGTAAATAGTAACTAACGCGAAGAGTCCTATCGACTAAGTTCGATTCAAATGTAAATAGTAACTAACGTGAAGAGTCCTATCGACTAAGTTCGATTCAAATGTAAATAGTAACTAACGTGAAGAGTCCTATCGCCTAAGTTAGATTCAAATGTAAATAGTAACTAACGTGAAGAGTCCTATCGACTGAGTTAGATTCAAATGTAAATAGTAACTAACGTGAAGAGTCCTATCGACCAAGTTAGATTCAAATGTAAATAGTAACTAACGTGAAGAGTCCTATCGACTAAGTTAGATTCAAATGTAAATAGTAACCAACGCGAAGAGTCCTATCGACTACAACACCCGGTATTGACCGCGGATATGCGCACTGAACGTCAGCTAAAGATTGCAAAGCACGTGTACTTTGTGCATAGAGATAACAATAGCTTTCACAAATGAGGGAAACAGATTGGGAGTTTCATAGATACAACAATCATTAACTCATAACTGTAAATTTTATATTCAAAAACGTCAGATACGAATTGAAACAATCTAATGCTAAGGTTAACCCAAAAAATAATTTAAAAATCAAACTCTCATAAAAAGTAGTAACTCACTTGGAGAGCCCTACCAACTACAGCACAAAGACTACGTAAACATCCGGCATTGTAAGCGGATATGCGCACTAGTATGTCAGCTAAAAATAGCAAAACACGTGTATCTTGTGTGTAAACATTGCCATAGATTTCATCGAACTGGGAAGCAGACTGAGTTCAGTGTCATAGTTACGTCACTCATTAGCTGCTGATAACTATACTTTTGATACTCACAAACGCCCGATAAGAGTTGGAACACTCAAATCCTCAAAGTAAACAAAAGTCAAACTCTGAAAGAAAGTAGTAACACACGTGAAGAGCCCTACCGACTACAGCACAGAGACTAAGTAAATAAGCGTGGCACCAGTTATTTGCTTAATTAGCCGTAGCCCACTTACATAAGTCTTACAGTTTAACCAATTGTGAGTGGGGTTGCAACAACACTAACAACAATTCCACGAAAGAGTGCAAGGCATATTATATTACAGTTAGCTTATAGATGGGGGAATACTACTAATTTGCAAAGAACCTTTTAATTAGTTATAGTGATGTAATGTACAAAGGTATTTTTCTAAAATAATTTTGAAGACACAGAATAACTAATACACAGAAACCATCCACAAAGGTGAATATCGATTAGTATTTTTAATGAATCAGTATACACTGTCTTATGTCAGTGAGACAAAACATTTAAACAATGAGCAAAACTAGCTATCTGGTAATCCACGTGTGCCAATAAGCTAAAATGATATTCATGTGAGGGAGCTTAACAGTACATGTATATTGCAGCGAATTTCAGGTTTGTAAACCAAACACTATAACGTTACTGATTTAACTAACGTTATTTTAAACTATCTATCTTTGTTTGTGTGTAAAATTTTGTTTGTGATTTTTAAAGTAGCCAATCAATGAACTAATGGTGAGGTCAGGTTTTAGGAAAATGACTGACTGACAATAACCTCAGCACGATAATTAAATATTCGTCGGTTTATGTCGCATGCGACTGTTCAGATGTAATTTCAATCACGATCATCAGCCGAAATAGCTGGGCGCAAAGGTGCAAAATGGATATGAATGAATCACTGAAATTCGGTGTTCGTGAAGTGAGTAAGCATTTCCAAAGACACAAACACAATTTGCATACACACGCGTGTATTTGTTGTCAACCAAGCCTACGGTGACAGAGATTTGGTGATGGAGATAAAATGTGGCCCAATTGGGTGAACATGTCCTGCTCTAGCAAGCAATCAATATTTAATGATTCCCAAACTACCTACGGTGGTACAAGAGCAAAACACAAAACAGATATATTACACATACATGCGTCTTAGTGACTATTTCTTAACAGGATTTGTAAAATATTTATGAATTTAGACAGGCATTTCAGTTCTTTTGTACATTTAGGCGTCAAAATTTTACAAAAGTTATATACATTTAGGTATTGATAATATAGTTTGGGAATATACAATAATCTGGTTGGGAGAAGAGTTTCATATCTAAAGATGTAATGAAACTCATCTTCTCCTATTACATTTTTGTTGCATAGTTTACATAAACGAACTTCCCGGTAGCATCCACTACATGTAAATGTTATTTTGTCAACCGAATTAACGAAACAGCCAAGAGTGTCAGCAAGGGTCATTCCGACTTCCCTAGCACCTTTTGTTTTAGGGTTCCAGGTCAGTGGAGCGAACTAATCCCCTATAACAAAAGATGCGCTTTTTATTTTGTTCTCTGTGATATTTGGTCACCTGTGATATTAGTCACTGTGTTGTATGATCCTGTAATCATTGTTAACTCCAGACAAATGTACATATCTTCACTTGCAAAAAAAGAAAGCGAAGTGTGACAAGCTGAGGTTTTCGATTGAATGCTATCTGAATGACTGCTGCATCGAATTTATATGCAGTATGTTAACGTGAACAGCATCCCTGCATAATCCGTCGTATTAAATGAAGTTGGCGCGCCTGATAAAAGGTTTTCTGTTTTCTGCTCAGGGCTAATCACGCCCCATTCGTAACCGTTGGCTCAAAACAGTATCTTAAGTAACGCGACGGCGTGACCGACGCTTTATTACCGTCCTCGCTATGCTTGTGGTGTTGACTCAAGTGAGGTGAGGTGAAATTGGGTTTAACGTCGTGCTTGAGAATATTTCGCTCATATGACGACGTGCATGCGTGTGTATATGTATGTGCGGCTGCTTGTACTAGCCCAGACTGAAGCTGGTTTTATAGTGCTAGGCCACTGAGATACCATGCCGCAGTGAAGCACGAATACCCCACTCAGACACATTATACTGACTCCGAGCCGACCAGTCCTTGATGAACCCATTAATGCCGAGCGCCAGGCAGGGACCAACACGTACCATATGTTAACGTCTTTTGGTATGACGCGGTCGGGGATCGAACACGCGACCTTCCGCTCTCCGGGCGGACGCTCTAACCACTACACCACGGACGCGGTCGGTGTTGACTCAAAACCTCAACACATGCTACAACTCAGAATATGTTGAAGGTGTCACGGAACTGAGAATGATTTAAGTAGTTTGAACAGGCCAGTAAAACGACGTGACCAAGCTTCTTTTATATGACCAGTGTAAGTATTTAGATCATTGACTTTTCCGTACCTTTTGACACTAATTTGATTGCCAAGTATGTAGACCCCGCTTACAAAAATCACAGTTGGAATCCACGTAGCAAGTGGAATCCATTGTTACTAAGTAGTTTCGTTCGGTTTGGTATCCCCCCAGTCTCTTGACACAAGCTGAGAAAGTAACAGGGTTTACTACGAAAAATACATGTTGGGATGGGCACGTGTGAAGCCCATTTCTAGTCTTCCCAGCCGTGATATTGCTGGGATATTGCTAATAGCGGCGTATAAAAGAGGGAAAGGACCAGTGCTCATGATGAGTCTGCATCAGCTAAACCTTCCTTGCTACATTAATGTATAATTATCTGTAAATAATTATAAATACTTATGGTCTATTGTCATTGATTTCCTGATGTTCAGTGAAGAAACAATATTTTCAGACAAATTTTCTGGGCTCGTTCTTGCCCCTTCTTCATCCACCTGAAGAAGGGACAAGAACTAGCCCAGAAACGTTGCGAAAAATAAATCAAGAAGTTGTTATCAATAAGATTTGTCTTGTATTACTACACCAACTTCTCAATGCCTTTGAAGAATTTCAATATTTTCAGATCATAAATCATCCACATTGGTGTTGACTGACCTGTATTGCATACACCATCTAGAATTATACAACGGTGAAGGGGATTTTATCACTTGGATGATAATAAAGATAGTAATCCTGACAACTAAAATTATGACTGGTGAGAGTCGACCATTGAGTTGTTCATGGGGCACACGTAGGGGTCGTTGCACTGTTCTCTGCTGGAGCTGCAATATGAAAACAACAGGTGTGAGCGAAGGAATAATGGTAATCAATCAACGAACCATTCAACATCAGTGCTCACTATAGTAGAAACATACGATGAACGGTTTATCTGACATCGCGAACCCAGTGATGTACATTGCGAAACTGACAAGTACCTCGAACAACAGTGCCAAATACATCCGTCACTCATAAATGGTCATAAGTAGCATGGACACATCTTGACCAAGTCTGACATTATGAGAAACAATTTCACAAACAGATGTCATATCAAATTAAATACATCACGCTAATCATATCAGAAATAATTTTACTCTATAGCTGCTGTTGTTCTTTCGCAAATACTAAATGAATGTGTCTTTGAAATGCTGTTCTCAAAAGACAAATGACATTGATCCTTGGTATGGCTGCTTGATCAAACGTTTCATTCACACAGAAGAGTGTCAGAACTTCGAGCGGTGGCATGTATATCAAAAAGGGAAATACAAGTTCAAAACACGTGGAAACACGATATCAAATTTAGATGTGACCACCTGTTTGATAGATCGAAGTATATGCCAGTGTTCAATTTTGTTCTGCCACTTTACTTTAATTAACAGACCGCTTCAAAGGAATGGTATTCGTCATGTGTATGCAGAGCTACAAACCGATATATTATCACAAGGCAATATGAAATATTTTGAAACCATGTCACTGTCTAATTCGGAGTACACGTGGCCCTGTTCTGCAGTTTCACTAGCTTTATACAGAAAACACATAACTAAAGAACGTTTTTCTTTTTTCTTCTTAAAGTTAAAACATGTGTGGGATGTGAAAGACTTTCTGGATGCACAACAAAGTCATTTGTAAACGGCACTCGCGATTTCAAGTGCCACATGGCATTGTGATGTATTGTTAAACGTGAACATTGGGTATCGACGTTACCCTAATGAGATGCTTTCGACGGGCGTTACATTGCAACCACTGACCGCAGTGTTATAACTGGGTTACATGTTTCTGTTAACAATCAGTTGATGTTCATAAAATTGTGTTCAAACAATAATCAGTAATGCATTAGTACCTAATGTAAGCAGTGAATATGGACGTTAACCTATGAAGAGTCAAATGTAATCTGGAATCTTCAGTTAAGTATTCCAGCATAGTGTGGAACATTCTGGAAGGTATTTAGACATATGGGATACGCGTATGCCATCTCACATTGGATGATCGAGATCAGCGGTTGTGTATAAAGACTCTTTACACCTTGAATATGAAGCTGACTTGCCTGATTTTACAACTGCTATTCGTTTTTATACAGTCGCTGCAATTAAAATTGTACAGCCACTCTTTTGTGTACTGTATCCTAATTACTTTGCAGTAATAGGTATTGATTTGTAAAACCGGTTTCGAATACCATACAGTTACATATTATTTATTTCTCTCTGTTGCTTGTTGTTTTCAGAAATAATTATTTTCGGAGTGTTCTTGTTGTTTCAGTTTGGGAATTGACGCTCGATAGTGTTCCGTTCTGTACACAATTCATGTAAATTGTCCATGTTCCTATTTTCGTTCATTATGGAAACACGTACATCAAGTTGGAATAAAGTAAAATATCTGTGGCCCTAATATAACGGCTTTGAGCTAGCCGGGCTCACGTGATTCTGTCCAAAGGTTTACAAGTATTGCATTTATGAGGCCAAACTATATAGCCACTAAATTGCTGCCTCCACAATATGAGATTACCGGTTATCATTTCACTATTTACATGATAAAGGTTACTGCTGCCTTTGGCAATGCCCTTACCATCAGTTTTTATCAACGAAAGGGACAGAGAACCGACTGAACAAGCACCGCAATCTCCTCCACACCGAATTTCGATCAACTGTCCACCCAATGACCGGTTCACAATCGGGGCCCATCCACGAGTTATTTTCTTCCATGTTACCTGAAGCATTTGTGATGAGAAAGGAAATATTAGAATCGAGGATAAACAAACCATTGACTGATATTGTGTGAAAACATTCTATGCAACGAGGCTCGGTGAAGCACAATAAACAAAGAACACCAACCTGACCACCCACTAAGTCGCTTCTTACTACAATAACAGGTAGGTTGTTTGGGATCAGTTTGAACCCGGAATCCAAATGGGGCAATGAATGCGCACAGTTCGACTTACTATTCCGCAATAACGAAAACTACACATATTTTTCCACTCGAAACAAAAAAACACACCAGAAGTTGAACTTGAGTGAGCGAGTGGGTTTAGTTTTAGCGATATTTCAGAAATATCATAGCGAGGAACACAAGGAATGGATGGTCTTCACACATCGTACCCATGTATGGAATCGAACCCGGTTCTTGGACATGAAGATCGAACGCTTTAACACCACCTCCCATGTAGAACTTGAAAACATGTTTAGTTACGATGTACTTGGACACATGCTGTTTTCTAATGGTGCGGTCCCAGTGCCGACCTCACGCTACTCGACCTTCTCGACCTGAAGGTCGAATTGGGGGTCGAGTTGGTCGAGTTTCAGAACGAGTTAGGTCGAGTCAGGTCGAGTCAGATCGAATCAGGTCTACCAAGTTTTTGAAATTTTTTTGACATGTCAAAACATTTTCCCGACTTCCTCCTCGACCTTCGGTCCGAGATGGGGACGAGACCAGGTCGAGAATAGGTCGAGGTAGGTCGAAAAAAGGTCGAGTTTAGGTCGACATTAGGTCGAGTTGGTCGAGTTGAAGGTCGAGCTGGCCTGACATGCCGATCTGTGTTCGTCTTAGAGTCGATCTGGACTCGGCCTCGACTCGACCTCGACTCGACCTGGAGGCGACAGAGTCGACCTGAAGTCCACCTATCTCGACCTCAATACGACCTAATCGAGTCCACGTCGACCGCACAAATGGGCGCCATCTTCCCAGATGCTTTTATAAAAGCCAAGCGGCAGCCAGTGGTAGCACATCATCTCCACACCAACCTGCTGCCACCCAGAGGTCCATCCTGAGCACACCACCCTCTCCAACACGCCGCAAAGCAGCGAAACAGGCTGGTATCTTCCCCAGCTTTGACTCCAATGCTGCAGCAGGTATATCTCTGTACCTTCCAAGCGGTCTCTTGGACCCTACACACACCTCAAAGGATGTTCAGGACTCTCAGCAAGGACAGTGAAACTGAGAAGTAGAACTTGGTACTCATATATTGTCATGAGCACTTTATACTGATGTGAAATGTTACCTTCAGATTATTTAAATGAGTTTCCAATACAAGATTTAAAACCTTTTTTATCTGATATTTTTTTGTATTTTCCATCCATTGCTAAGTGTTTATGTAAATACATCTTGTACGATTGTAATAAAGTTTGTTTTGTTCACCATGTATATAGTTAGTTTTCATTGTGTGTTTTTTTCGCATTTACTAATTGTAAATAGTGTAAATATAAAACAAACAAGAGTTCCTTTGTAAATGAAGTAGTCCTAAATAATAATAGTACACTTGGATATCATCTTCTCTTGCCAATGAATAGCTCCTGGGCCCATGAAATAGTCCTTCAAATAGTTTCTTTGGTTGGCGCCATCTAGTGGGGTAACGTTCCCCGTACCCCGGTTATCCCCATCAAGCAGCTGTGTGTAGGAGCCCCACTTGCCTGGGGTGAGTGAACAGTCCCCATTCCCCGGTCTATGAGGTTCATCTGACTGTTCCGGTTCCTCGTTCTCAGCATACTGTGTAAAGTGACGCAGGCCTGGGATATCTGTTTACGGAACCTCATAGCCAGAATCCCGAAGGTATTCTCCACCACTCGTCTGGCCCGAGACAGTCTGCAAAAGTCACAAATTAAACATTTTTAAGTCAAATGCATTCAAAATTCAAAACCTTTGATATAATATTGCAGACACCCAAAGATACTAAGTTATAATTTGATTTAGGTATTAATGGAAAAGAATAATTACCTGCAGTTGAAGATCTGCTGATCGGGGTCCATCTGACGCATGGAAAAGGACTTCATCATCCAGGGGCGGAGTGGAAAGGCATCGTCTCCGATGATGAAGTATGGCACACCATACTGGGAATACACGGTCATCGCCCTCCATCCGATCTCGTGAATGGTTGAAAACCATCAACGTCTGATGCTGATCCCTTGGCCCCGACGTTGACCCACGGGAACTTGTAGTCGGCATCCGCGAGTGCCAGCAAGACAATAGAGAAGAAGTTGTTGTAGTGGTAGAAGAGGGACCCGCTTTTGGGGGGCTTCTTGATGCGTATGTGCTTGCCATCAAACGCACCGGTGCAATATGGAAATTGCACCCTTTCCTTGAAAGCACGGGCTACAGTATTCCATCTACTCTGATCCCACTAATCTGACCAATACTCAGCTTTGAAGGCTTCCAGGATAGGATTGATGTGCTTACGGCTGAGGCTTTGGCTTTGGAGGAGGGTTGGCATTCTCAAACATGTGCCAGGCTATCTGCACCCAAATGGTAAGCAGTCTTCGCTTCCCGGGGTTCACCAGGTTTACGTCAAGGTTCCTGATGGTGATGTTACTACTTTGCAGTCCTCTAATTGAATGGGTACCTGGTGAAAATGCACCCTGTAATTTATACAATTCGGAAACTAAGGGTCTACTCGGCAGAAAAAAATTGAATTTCCGTCGAGAACCAGTGGCTCCGGTCGAACACAGGTCGCGGTGACGTCGGGCCGGTCGACTTAGGACGAAATTAATTCGAAATTAGGTCGATATACAGGTCTAGCTGGTCGAGTATAGGTCTTCTCAACTTGGCCGACCTAAGTCGAGATAGGTCGACTGAAGTCGAACTAAAATCGAACTAAGGTCGTAAAGGTCCTTACGAGGTCGTTACGAGGTCGTTTTGAGGTCGTTTTGAGGTCGAGATACCCCCCCAGGTCGAGACCGGTCGAGTAGTTTGCGAGGTCGAGTCGGTCGAGCTCCCGAGGTCGCCACTGGGACTGCACCATAATAGGAATGCTTTCACAGTTCACTATTTTCAAACGGGTAGAAATTGTGTAAGTGACACACATGGCAATAATGATAACTGCTCTGAAGAGAACTTAAGATAGTACCACCCGAAAATACAGTCACTCTCAGATCAATCCCACATGTTGCATTAACGATAACATGTTTCAAAAATACTTACACTGTCACTAACAGACAATCCGGTCCCTCTCAGATCTATCACAGCACGTCCTACAGGGCCACAATTCTCAGAGTAGCAGTCTCGAACACTTCCTACTGCGGCGGACATTACCCCTGTCTTGTTGTAGAATGTTTGATCCGATTTGAAAATAGCCATTGTCTGAAAAAGTACACGTGTATAAGGTTACAATACAAATACAAACAGCACAGTTAGACTGACTGACTGAGTTTAGTTTTACGCCGCTTTTAGCAATATTCCAGCAATATCACGGCGGGGGACACCAGAAATGGGCTTAACACATTGTGCCCATGTGGGGAATCGAACCCGAGTCTTCGGCGTGACGAGCCAACGCTTTAACCACTAGGCTACCCCACCGCCCCAGCACAGTTAGAACTGGTCTTGAGTAAACCATGCTTGTTGTAAGAGACGGGTGGTCAGGTTCACTGACTTGGCCCACACATGTCATTGTATCCCAATTGCGTGAAATGATGCGCATGATGTTGATTATTGGTTTGTCTGATTATTTACAGACCGCTTCCATACAGCTGGAATATTGATGAAAGTGCCACTTTAAACAACAAACCAACTTAAGCTGACACATACCAGTCTGATAGCGTTTGGCCTTTCATATACCTTGCCTCCCTTTAACACAGATTCCCTACTCAGACACATTGTTCTGACTCTGAGCTGACCAGTCCTTGTTTTATCCTTTCATACCAATTGGAAGTGCCGGGCAAAGAAAACTACCTTATCTAATTCCTGTTGCCGTTTTGTATGACACGTCCACAAGATCACACCCTAAACCTTCCGCTTTCAGCTCAACCGCTCCATCCTCTACATTACATTTAAGGGAAATCCGGTCCACCTTGGGTTTGTCATAGTACAGCAAAGTGGGACACAGCTTTTAGAATGACAATCTCGAACTTTACTCACTCTTCCCCAGAACCTCACGGATGCGATGTTCATAGGTATGTTACATGTCAGTTATAATAAATTATATTTACATCACCTCATTGATTGCCTAAAATTTTAAACAGTGAAAGACATGATTACACATGTGCGGGTTCGAATCCCGGATGGGACTGAATCCAACAAAAGTACTAGAATCTGTACTTTACTGAGAAAGGGTAGTCGCAAATATATCATATATTATGTTCCAGTGAAAGACAATGAATTATACAAGGAATCTCAGTTCCAGAAATGAGCGTCAAACGATAACACGAATTGACGCCTGTATGATATCGAAAGTTCATTTTCTGTCTACCTCATGACCAATTTCTGTATGCTGCACGATACCCCAAGGTAATAATTTTCTTGTGCAGTCGCTTATCGTATGATGCAAATCATCCATCCTTTAAAGAATTATAGAACGTCAACGCCAGCGAATAAACGCTCGATTATTGAGCTTTAGAGGCAAACGCCATCAGCAACATTCATCAATGGCGATTCGGGTGGTTGGTTCGTTGTTTAACGCCGCACTCAGCAATACTCAATATAATACTCAATAAATAATCGAGTCTGATCATCGATGTTCGAAATTTGGTTACCGTAACATGTCTCAACCAAGTCAGCGAGCCAGACCACCCGATCCCGTTAGTTGCCTTTTACGACAAGCATAGGTTACTGAAGACCAACGCTAACCCGGATCTTCACGGGTACGATTCGAGTGAGTTTTATGTTATTATAAGACTGTTTCACCGGACTACTCTATGAGACTGCGTTTTGTTTGTGGTCCAACTCTGTACTAAGCAAAATTCGAAATATGTGACGTCGGTGAGTAAATCACCCATGTAGTGCAAAGGGTATTTGATCAAATAGCGGCGAATGCCGGGTCAAGTTGTGCAAACTATTTGCCAAGTTGTCACTGATCTCACCTCTATGTCCAAGCCAAACTTTGAATAAACATGTTTTCCGAGAAAGTTATTATCATAAGATGTGTCGTTTCCTGTACAATTAAGATTTCTGATAAAAGGTGCATCCATGATGTAAGGAGTGGTCAGAGTGATGTACTCTCTGGGTGTATTCTTCATGTCATGACAGTACACCTTCACACGGTCACCATTCAGCGGTTGTGGATACAGCCAGTATTCTCCATCAGCATAATTTGAATTAAGGTCAAGCACATCTTGACAACTTGAGAGACCTGGAAATGAAATCAAAATCATTTCATTATCAATAATATGAAAATGCAAGTCGATACACATGAATGCAACTTGATTGGGGAAAATGAGGACCCTTTCTCGGGCACATGTTTACATCCTGACACATCTGGATATGAAATGAATTATAAGAAACCGATAAATCAAAACATATACATGCAACTGGATTGGTCTTACGAAAAAATGGTTTCGTTGGCATTGGTGCGAGACTTTTTATTCCCTTTGCGCGGTGGTGTATTTCGGATTACTTTTTACGCACTGCACAGTGAACACTGGACAGAGTTTCCACCATGACTGACCTTAAAATGAAATTGTTATCAATAAGCAAAAACAAGTGAAAGCAACGTTATTTTACATCTGGATATAATTCATTTGTTGGTTTGTTGTTTAACAGCACACGCAGCAATATTCCATCTATATGTCTGTAAATAATCGAGTCTGGACCAGGCAATCCAGTGATCAACAGCATGAGCATCGATGTACGCAATTGGGATACGATGACATGTGTAAACCCAGTCCCGTTAGTCGCCTCTTACGACAAGCATGAGTTACTGATTTTCACGTTTACACCCATGAGTTATGGGGACGCCAAAACCCCAGGTTCGATTCCCTGTGTAGGTACAGTGTGTCCCCCACACCTGGTGTCCATGACCGTCATATTGCTGGAAGTACACGCTTCATGCACTCAGATCAGGCCCCGATTTCTCGAAACAAACTTAAGTTTTGACTTGGAGACTTGTTGGAGTTTTTACTCACATTTGAGAATACGCAGGAAAATGCATTTGCCAGAATGAACTGAAATCAACAACAAACTCAAACATAGGAGACAATTTGAGTTTGGTGGATAGATTAATTAAGTTGTTTGGGCTTTTTTATTTTATAAATGCAGCTGAGTTTAAAATTCAGCTGTTTCAAATTGTCATACTCAGTTTGAAATTTGAGTAAAAAGTTTGTTTCGAGAAATCGGGGCCTGACCCTACTGTTCCAACTTACATTTGCAAGTCATGTTGGTCCATGTTCCATCCGGCTTACATGTGACGTTTCCACACGGCACATATCCCACAATGCACTCCAGCTGCACTGACTGATCTACCGGAATCACGTTACTGATCGGGGATGTCGATGTGGCATTTTTAACAGTTGGTGGATCTGAACAGTCTACAAAGTAGAGATGTCAATGTAAGTAAAACCTACAATGTGGAGCTTTACCTTGCCGGCAAATATAGCCCTTAACGTATATAGGGTTTTTGCAGAAGATTTGGTCATGCCTGATTAATGATAATGAAAATAAGAGTTTAAATATGGCGCTGATTTCCACCACACAAGGGCAATGCTCAAAGTGCTGACAAGTCACTGTTCACATGTACAAGAAAATACAAGGATTTATGAAACGTATCGTTGAAAAAGGTGTGTTTTGAGTCTGTTTTTGAAGAGCGGCAGAGTTGGTACTAGTTTCTCATCAAGAGGCAGAGAGTTCAAAAGGGTAGCAGCTGCATACTGAAAGGACCCACACCAAACGATTTGAGTTAATAAGTGGACATGGACAGGAGAAACTAAACATGGGAGCGTAGAGTTCTGAAGTTTTAGATTAGGCCTTAATGATTTATTAATTAACCGTGGAAGATACGTTTCTATGGGGAAAAAACAAATATTATGTCCATTCTGTTACATTATTGAAGACGATTTCCATTTTCTGTATATTTGTCCTGTGTATGAAAATCTAAGAAATAAGTATCTACCGCATATGTCTTTATCTCAGATCAATGTTAATCTATTGTCTTCCTTACTTTCCTGCAAAGAACCTCCAAAACAACACAAAAGTTGCCCTATTTATATGCCATGCATTTTTGTTAAGAAAAGAATTGATTAGTTAGAAAGTTGATTATATATGCCATTGTTAAGATGTATATCTCTTGTATATGGGTCTATGGCCTTACATACAATAAAGAATTGAATTGAATTGAGTGAGTGTACAGTGTGATGAGGTCTTGAAGATAGGCAGGTCCCATTTTGTGAATTGCCAGATAAGTGAGTATCAATGTTTTGAATTTAATACGTTCAGGAATATGAAGCCAGTGGAGAGATTGGAGAATGGGCGATATGTGACGGGATGGTTTGCTTCTTGTTATGATACAGGCAGCACTGTTCTGAATCTTTTGTAACGTGTTGACCAACTCGTTAGAAACTCCAAACAATAAACTGTTACAATAATCGAGGCGAGAGAAGACTAAAGTTCTCATGAGACACGCGGTGTCAACAGATAGCGAATGGATCCAATGTTTCTCAAATGGAAATAGCAGCATTTACACAACTGTGAAACTTGAATTTCCATTTAAGGTTTGCAGTCAATGTGAACACCCAAGTTCTTGAGTGAAGATTAACCATCCACTGCAGACTGGCCAATGCTTGGTGTCAAATTTCTTCAGTCTTGAAGGTGGTCCTATAAAGAGTGCTTCTGTCTTGTCGTCGTTCAACATCAAAATGTTCGATGACAACTGTTCCAACATACGCTTGCTAGTCATGTGGGTCCATGTTCCATCCGGCTTACATGTGACATTTCCACACTGCACATATCCCACAATGCACTTGACTGATTTACATGACAGATCTGGGATGTCGCTGTGTAATTTGCAACAGCTGGCGGATCTGAACAGTCTGCAAAGTTGACATCTCTTAGGTAAGTAAAACCAACAAGGTGAAGTTTCAAATATCATGGGGATATGGGGAGTTGTCACAGAAGAGTAGGTCATGTTTGATGTGTTCCGGAATGACAGTCGCGTCTGTGAGAGGAATGTCTTGCAACTGTATTCTGCGAAGTTGTTCACTGTTCCTGAATGGCCTGACGTTTTGCAGCGTTTGAACATTTTTGAACATGTCGGGAAATGCGTCCACGTTATGTGAAAACATGAAACGTAATCTGGGCCCCTATTCTCGAAAGTGTCCCAGCTAAGACAAATCCTAAGTAGTTAAGACAGAAGTTAGGACATCCTACCGTTATGATAAGACCCATTCTCGAAACGATCCTATCCCTGTTCTAACTCCCTGTGCTGCCTATCCTAGCTAGGATAGCGAGCTCTTCAGTAGGTGAGATAGAAAAACCCTCATTAAGTTGGGGATTTCCCTAAATATTACCCAAGATTCATTTCATAAAACACATAATATGAGGAAATTCAGCTTTTGGTGGACTTAGTAGATCTAGAAGGAATTATTCGATTTTTTTCATCACATTATATAGTAGTTTTGAAGTTTTTGAAAATTCATTTTTTGACAAGGCGATAACATTTCTACTTCAGAGTTTGAAAGTCTGCCAAAAACAATAAGGATATTAAAGATGTGTGCATAACATATTTTCATTGTATTTATTTTTTATGAAAATCATCATTTGAACTCTCATTATGCATCATCTCACAAACTGAAAAATTCACCTAGGAAATAAACAGGATCGGAGTTACTTTCCCTATCAAGTTGGCCTTGACATTGACATTTCACGGCAATGTATCTGGAAAGAGCAATGTTGTGATTAATAGGTAAGAACTGAACAAATCTCTTTTGTAGATCTAAAGAATATGTGCATCGCAACAAGTGTCTCTATTCATTACCGATAAATTGATAATATAAACTCAAAAAACTCTTCGTAACACATCAAAACTGTGTGCTCTTGTAAATTCAAATGTATTTTAGGCGAGTTATTTTGTTTGACAACGTCAAAGTTGGTGAACAAACAAGAACCACGCCATGTTGATTTCCACTAAGATAGACTTAGGACAAGTCAGAACCTATCCTAGTATTTATCTTTAGTCAGGATATCCTAGCGCTAGGATACTTTTCGAGAATAAGGTAGGACACCTATACTAGACCCTTAGGATCAAAGTTAGGATATTCTAGGGCTAGGATCCTTTCGAGAACAGAGGCCCTGATTCTAGACTTGTTTCAAATCTCCTTTTCTAGAACTAAAGCTATAACAGCCCTGGACTTTTTATTTTACACCCTAGATGGGCCATATGTGTGCGTGCGTGCGTGTCTGTGTTTGTTCAATGACCTTATACAAATTCTCCTAAAACCATACATTAGTCAAATTAGTTTTGACGGCAACTACCAAAGCGTTTTAGTGGACATCGATCAATCAGATGTGTCAAGGAAAGAAGATGGACAGTGAACATAATCGGGATTTAAAAGCTATCCTGACATTTCTACATGTCCTGTCTTTAGTAGATATTGAGCGGTTTTTTTGTTATACTCCGGAAACCAAATCCACACATCTTTATACTAAGTCCAGGGAAATCAAGAAATATACAAATGTGAAAAACCTGCAAATAACAAGGTGTCGGCCCGGGAAAGCGAAATTTCAATATCCCCTATTCCCGGTAAAGCGAAAATCAAAGTTGTGCTAGAAGTGCCGCGAAAACGAATTGCTATGAAAACATCGGATTACCGTACTTCAGATTAGCGCGCGACCCCAATACTCGATATGTTAGCCGCTTAACTGAGATGAAGTTTCAGTTGTTTCAAGTTTCAGCACTTGATCTATGACAAGTTTAAGCATCGGTGTAGGAAAACCCTCCGAGAAAAGAAGTATTGAAGCTGTGTAGTAAAATTTGTTTGTTGTTTAACTTATTTGACTATTTTATTTAATCCACCGTGCACAGACGGTTGTTCGAGCAGATGTCAATTATTCTCAGTCAACTGGGACAATGGCTGTCGCCGACATTTGATTATGTCGGTAGCGTCAGAGTAATTTACGTTACGTTGTGTTTGTTTACAGCTTTTCTTGTGGTAAATCATCGCACAGGCCCACAAGATAATTTTTCTTGGTTGGCCTGTTCATCTATTCTCGATATCTAAAAACATATAGTTTCGTTAACATTGATTTTTCGTACTATATGGAAAAATATGCTCGACATCAGTAGATATTTTTTCAGCAAGTAATGCTACGTTACCGTTATAACTCAAAATCAAGCATCCCAGTAATAATCTTCATCACTGTACATTTGGGGTCCGGCGGTCTGTTGTTATACATGTGCCCCAACCAAGCATTCTGTATTTATTCATCCTGCCATAACGTTATTCATTACCAGGACTAATTTACGTTACTATAATTTACATTACCGCCATATTCTGAAATTTGGAAAGTTTCGCGAAACGTTTGTGTTTTGTTGTCTGGCATTGCCGAAATATCAAATGTGAATCAAACTTTGACAAGTGAAAGTAGTTTTAGGTTGTTATCGCCCTATGTATATAAGAAACGTAAATTACATTGCGGTAACGTAAATATTTATGATTTACCTAACGATGTAAGTGGTGTATGCACGATATTTTCAATTCCACCCTCACATAATCCATCCATGTGACTTATCGGTGAACAGTCTGTGGCTCAAACATTTATTGTTATTTATATATTTAATTTCTACCATGACTACGGTATCAGACGACGACTCACACTTCTTTGTTTTTCTTGTGTATTGAGAGTCCCGGGAACGCGAAACTCAGTGTTAACTATAGCTTGACCGTTCCCGCGAAAGAGAAACCTAATTTGAGGAGGTTTAGTCCAGATTTCGCTTTTCCGGGCCATAACCAATAACAAATGGTACAACGTTAGGTTCTGTCTGCTATACCTACCAACCTTAGTTAAAAATACTGAACAGTTATTTAGTTATGCTCCGGTGTATTAATTGAATGTAGAATCGATATAACTGGTTTGAAGCAATGCACGGTTCCACCTGGCCATGCTATTGATAATTGTTACTTAGTTCACATTACCAGTCTAAGGAATATTAAGGTGAATATTGATTTCGCGATAGGCAATGCTGACAAGCGTTCCCGTTGGACAGTTTTGATTTCACAGTTTACTGCCCATAATTAACTTGCCTAGTGATCGGTTCTTGTCATTCTGCCTCTGTCAAAGATTTACCATAATTCTTAAACTTAAATTAAGGAACGACCTCACATTGGTTAATATTCACGGAAAGTACTTGAGTCAACTGTAGTTATAGATTCTCAAACATCAAAGGATGTAAATACATATTTTCTTTTTAAGAACAAATTGTCATTAAATGTAAGAAAATGTCATCAGAAGTTTCCCGAGAAAACAATATGTAACATGCTGGACGTCCTCGCAAATTATATCAGTGTGAAATTTGGGGATGAGAAATTTTGGCAAGTAGGCATCCGAATAACCACGAACCAAGCTACCATTCCGGCTAATTTGTTTCTTTATCTTATTGGATTGGCAAAACGAACCCAAAGGAGTTAAGGCCAATACGTTTAACTTAAGTTTCAGGTTTATTGATGATGTGACCGTTCATTAATGTTTATGAAATAATGAACTAGACATAAAAGAGTGAGTGAGATAAAATATTACGTCACATCGGCAATATTTCAGCCATATCGTGTCGAAGTCATGAAAGAAACCAGCGAAACCCGTCCAACCGTTTTCACATAGATATCTGCGCTTAACGATTCAGCGTCATCAAAAGAACATCCTCAAAACTGGATTCTGAATCCGATCAAACATGTAATTTCCTATTACTGTCCAGGTCCAGCCTCACAAGTTTGCAAGTGCAATGAAGCATCCCCTTCGACGGAGACCTGTGATTTTCAGTTGTTTGTTTGCAATGTTTGGTGAAATTTGCAAAAGACCAACAACAAATGACTGTAGATCACCTTGCTGGCTTCAGTGATTTTTCTACCTCCATGAACCCTATCAGCGACTTTGACAAATTTAGACAAACGGTCACATATTCTTCGATTGTTAATTTGTTAGGAATCAAAATCCTTTGAAAAACATAGTCTTACATACCCTTTAAGGGGGACCAAAAATTTACAATACTTCAACCCCCTTTGAGGATACAGTCACAAACACTCTCAGTTGTTCATTTATTCAATTCTAAAATAACATCTATCTGTTCACAAAACGTATCAATGAAATGTTTTCAATTTTATTTCTGTTTAAGAATTAACAATTAAATGATATCAACCATTTCTGATCTTTTTTGAATGAAGCTTCGAGATATTTACCCCTTGTGACATATCCATAAAATTATAAACTTCACGAGTGACATAAACACACACAATAAATACAGAGGTTAAAATGAGATAATTCACATTGTCATTTTCAAAGCCACTGTAAAGTCATTGATGATGAGAATGTTAACATCGTCAACTAAATGCAGGGAACATGATGTTACTGCACTGAAGACGTTAAACGTCTTGTGGCGTTGACATGTCTTGCTGAGATATCACCTGACGGACGACTGACTGTAATGGTCTGACGTGCCTTTCAAGAGGACCCCCACTGATGTTGGATTGGACTCATCATGCCTGACAGAGTGAGGGAGTCTTACGCCACTTTCAGCAACATTCCGGCAGGGGGACACTAAATATGGGTTTCATACATTGTACCCATGTGGGGAAGCGAACACGGGCCTTTGACGTGATGAGCGAACGCTGTAACCACTAGACTGCGCCACCGCCTCATCAAGAAGAACATGCCACATGCCAGGAGAACATGCCACATGGATATTGATGTGGTTCAGAAGGTCCCCTGGGAGTAGTGGATTTAGATTCAATACCTGGTGGTTCTTGTTGGATATATGGCAAAACACCTGGTAGCTAAATTGCGTCCCAATACCTATGTTCAATTATGTTGGCTAGAAAGATAACAAGGTCCTTCTTCTGGTCTCCACAAATTCTAGGACAGGGGAGAGAGTAGGATTCATACCTAATCACGAACCTAGCAACCCAATGACACTGTCGACTGGGTAATTCCCGCCGATGTCGTAGGTGTGGTGGTGAGGATGTTATTGCCCAGAGGAAGTCCTTGGATGCAAGATTCTTCAGTTAAGTTTGGTCCCAGAGGATCTCCCATTCAACCGTCTGTCTTTTGTGGAATGGGCTGTGCATTGACCTCTCAATAATGTAATTCTTCAAAGGCATTTAGTAATTCAAGACAAATCTTTTGGATAACAACTACTTGATTTATTTTTCACAACGGTCTGGGCTAGTTCTTGCCCCTTCTTCAGGTGGATAATGGTGATAGTGAAAAGTACAGTATATATATAGACGTACAGGAAGCCAGATATGTAAATTGAGTATGCACAAACAATGCATTTAGATCAAAGAGCAGAATTCAATGATAGGGTATGTTTTACAATAAGGTGAAGGGTGTGTCTACATAGCAGAGTGGTTAAATCAGATTGAGTTTGAGAGTCTATGATTTCTCAAATCTGCCCTCTCAGAACACATCGTTAACAATCCCAATCACTCTATGATCTGGCAACACACCGAAATCCTGGCTCCAACATCAGCAATTGGCGCAAAAGGAAACTGTGTGAATCAATCAACATAAGAAGATTAGTGCCTGAGATTAACAGAGATCAAGGAGTTTAACTCCTCAGCGCCTGGTTCAACACCCAGAAATCATAGACTCTCAAACTAGTTAGTGAAGAATAAATATATCAGGAACGGCAAATTATATATAGAAAACAGAGGCTGAATTCCAATGCATGAAAACAAGATACAGGAAGCAACAAAAAAGGAAATGTGTTTGGTTGTATTTCCGCATAGCATTACATACAACAGACGCAAGTGAAATGATAAGTGGGTCGGATAACTAATTTAATGAGAGCCTAAGCCTTTACAAGCACCATTTCTGTCCGACAGATTTGGTCAAAGTGAACCCAAGGTGACGCTTTCATCTACCATGAAACAAATGAGTAGGTAACGTGATCTTAACCCCACGATCAACTGTTCGTCTCTGGTATAAGGTCTGCAACTCTACAAAGTAATACTGACCACTTTCTAATTTGTATGCGATAGTTTAAAAAGGCACAAGAAAGGGGGAAAATGAAAGCATATTTACAATGCCACGAAACAAATGAGAAGGTAATGTGACTTAACCCCACGATCAACTAGTCCTCCCTGGTACAAAGTACATGGTGTGCAACTGTGCAAAGCAATATTGAGCACTTTCTAATTTGTATGCCACAACATCAAAGGGACAAATAAGGGGGAAAATGAAGCATATTTACAATACACTCAGGACATTGACTCCACTAATGATTGTATACAATATACTTACACGTAACGACACACTTCGAGGCATTTCTCCCTACTTCTACACATCTTGTGTTCAAGGGGCAGTTGTGGTCTTTGCATGCACCAAGTATTCCCTATAGGAAGATTAAGTATTGATAAAATCAAGCATCAACATATGATGGGGAAGAAACCACATAATATAATCTATGTGATTGTATCACAGTAAAATACTTTTAAGAATGTAAATAGAGTTACGGTTGTTGCCAAATACAAGAATCTTGCTACATGTAAATACATCACCAGTTGTAGCCCGTAAGTTTTAGTTTACTTACTTATGACTATGAACATTGTGTTACATTTCTAAACATTAACAGACTTTGCCAAAGGGACATTAAGGTGTAACAATTCTTCTACCATTTCTCTTTATTGCTACTGTCCATCCAGCGCATTGGTTTCCACGATTGGTTGTCAGTTGGTTTGCTGTATAACGCCGCACTCAGCAATATTCCAGCTTTATGGCGGTGGTATGGAAATACTCGAGTATGGACCAGATTATCCAGTGATCAACAGCATGAGCATCGATCTACGCAACTGGGATACGACATGTGTCAACCAAGTCAGCGAGCCTGAACACCCGATCCCGTTTGTCTTCTTCCACGATAAGCATGGGTTATTCCAATTCTAACCCGAATCTTCACGGGTTGGTTTCTATAAACCAGTAAAGACACAAATTAAACAATATCAGAATGAAGTCTGGTAACAGCGTTATAGATATTGCATATTATATCTGTAACGAAAAAAAGCCTTTTTTAAATTCAGGTAAACTCACCTGTGGCCAAATCTGTGATAGAGAAAACACAAAACGTTCCACCCCAAAAACTGCCGCTGTCCCATCAGTGTTGAGCTCACATGTTCCGTCATCGAGATGAAAGTTGTAGGACTTGCAGGCAAGTCTTGACAGACATTCTTTGGCACATGTTACAACACCTGAAGTTGCTACAGTATCAAACACAGCTCCAGTTAATCTTGCATTCTCCACCACGGCAAGTTGACTAAGTGGTGAACAAGTCTTTTCGATGGCACCAGCAAAGGCAACTAGTGTATATATAAATCCTGTAACGGTTCTATGTAGCCAGCTTACACTTACACGTGACATATTGTTTGGTAGCTCTCCTGAACAAAATGTCTGTCTACAGGTTCAGCCTTACCCGTCTTGTGGTCTCTATATGTTTGTTTACTTGAATCTATGGCGACATCCCTGATAAAGGAAGCACATTTTACTTTTACTTGCAAAATTTGCGTCACATTTCAGCACTGTCCTTAATAATGAATGTAGTGTTAATAGACAAATTCTGTTACCAGACATGTTTAAGAAATTAAATTGTCTATTGATTGTAAGAGAGTAGTGAGTGAATTATTTTTTAATGTAACATCGCCAATATTTCAGCCATACCGTGACGAGAACAAACTATACATTAAACCTACCAGGTTAAGACTGATTTGGTTTACAACCAGCATATCATAAAATGTATAAACAATACGTTAGAGAAATTGCCAGAAGCTGAAGGTAGCTCACAATACTAGGGACCATGGGGACTATTTGCTCTGTACAAAATATAATGGTTGGTTTGTTTGATTGTTGTCGCATTCAGCAATGTTCCAGCTATGTGGCGGCGGTATGAAAATAATTGAATCTGAACCAGACAATCCAGTGATCATCAGCATGAGCATCGATGTACATAATTGGGATACGATGACACCTGTCAACGAAGTGACCACCTGATTTTGTTAGTCGCCTCTTACGACAAGCATTGGTTGCTGAATACATATTCCAACCCGGACCCAAGCTGGATTTACCACATCCCTTCAGGTTTTGGCGATTATTGAGAATTTTAGCCGAACATTAAAGCAACAGATATTTTAGTTTCCATAGCAGATAGTGAGATTTACTAATACAAGCATGGCCACCACTATTTTAACTACGGGATCCAAAACTTGTCCAGTCCAAATTACGAAACTATACATGCAAAACAGCGTCTGTTTCTCTTGACTGTGATTACGTGGATAGGCCTCACATGTCCATCAAGAAACAAGCTGTATACAAGCTGAGAAGTCAGAGACATAGTTTGGCTTACAGTGGGCGCATCACAAGCTGCAAAGGTCGCGTTCCTGACTCTTAAAGAGACATGGAAGATGGATTTCGCAAAATAATGAAGATAGTTTGGCTGCAAGACTTTCTGTGTCGAGAAACTTGAGACTCTGATTACATGAATTTGAATATTGCTATGTTGCCGTTTATTTAAATGGAGCATTCGTTATTAACTTGTCTGAATTAGTCTGATATAAATGTTTTCGGCAGGTTGCACATGACTCCTTTTCTTTTGCACGCATAAACGCATCAGTATAGTGTTGGTTGATTCTCACGCGAAGCATAAGGCGCGGTCAGGGCGGTGCGCAGGAGTTTGGAGTAATTTGAGGTCCACTTCTGACGAACACCTTTGGCTGCTCGCCCGTCCACATAAGAGAACGATGTTGAAGGACCATACAAGATTATGTCACCCCTGGACAGACGAAGATCACTGGGTCAGAACCCATGGACTGTGTTAGTTGCGTAAATGCAATGGTCGTTTGACTGGTATATTCTTCCGCAAAATGTATGCTTGCCATTTACAGCTTGTGTGAAATGCGATCAGGAACACATTAATGGTAGTTTCAGTTGTACAGTGGTTTGTGACTTTAAGTATTAACTCACTCACTCACTGTACAGTGGTAGGAATGGCCTGAGGAACTGGTTACTGAACACAATTATATAAACAAAGAAATCGCTATTCAGACGCTGGTTTCTGAATCTGTTCAGGTTGCCTAACTTCTAACGCTATTATGCTTGTACGCAGTATTAATATCTACCCTGTAATAATTCGGTCCCGTCAGGTCGCCGTGGACACCAACCCATTAAGACTGTTTTGAGTTAAAGTCCATTAAGACTGATTTGAGTTTGTAAATATTTTACGTTCACTGATCAGGACATAAGCTAATCAATGAAGCAACTTCTATTAGCAAAGATGAAACGACTCTCCAAGAAAACAATCAACAAGATGCGATGACAGCTTAAGTCGGAGGTAATAAAACCAGCGCATTGGCAAGACGCCAACGAAACAAAAGGTCTCAGATTTCTCTTACTTAGTTTGTACAGCACATAAAATCAGCCACTGATCATGTACATGTGGGTTCTATACGTTTGACAATCCTCTTTCAGCATAACATATATGCAAAGAATAGTTTTAAAATTGTGCAAATCGATCTCTGAAAATATTTTCGGTAATGAAACCAGGTGTTAGCATAATCATTATTGACTTTTCAAACATCGGAGAGAGACGAACACGCACATCCACTTGAACATGAATGTAACTAAAACATATTCACACTCGTACTATAACTTACACGGAATCTATCAACAATATTCCAAAGACAATACAGTATTGAGTACACAGTAGATTATACATATACTTTATAAGTTGTATGCTTCTCTCGAGGGCAATACGGTCTGATGTACGCCTTTTTGTAGTAGCGTCACCCGAGCCGGTAGGCGAGGGATGACACTGCTACAAAAGGTTGGGTGTGCAAACGATGGAATGTACAAAATTGTTTAAATAAAGCAGTGAGAGTTGGTAAAATAAATGTGTACATAGTGAACTCTAAAAAACATCTAAACGAGCGGTTTTCGATCTTCGTGCATTGCATGCGTCATATTATGACGTCATACGATTGTTAGCTTTAGAGCTTCTCGGCGGAGAGTTTGGCGGTTACCGTGGCAGTGGGTAATATCTTTTCCATTTGACATGGAAACTTGTAAAAGCGTCATTGACCAATGAAATTAAAGTATTTACATGAAGGTAAGATAAAGTAACGTATATGTTATCCTATGTCAATAAGACAAAACATTTAAATTATTGTGCAAAATGATTGGCAACCATTATCAGTCATCTGATACTTGTCCAGTAATCATTTACGCCCAAACCAGAAGAAAAAGAAAACAAAATAGACACTGAACGTAACAAACAACATACGAATCGTAAGTCACACGACAGTGACTGACCTCGATAAGATTATCTCAACGAAGACTAGGACGGCGGATTTATGATAGGTATATCAAATAGAAACACTGGTTCTGTTTCGACTGCTGAATCTGCTCACAGTTGGCAGGCGGAATGATGCATACTTAATCATAGCCACAACTAAGTATGCAGTACCGCTCCCGTCTTTCTTTTTGCTTTGTGTTGTTGATTGGACGAAACAAGAAACTCAGCGTATGGCTACCCTCACAGTAAGAATCAAGTCAGGCAATAGATTCATACATTTATTTGATGAATATAAGGCATTTCAGACTTTTTGTAAACGAGCCAAGGATGCTGGACATAATCTTAATGTTAATGTTGAATTTCTTGATGGTACTGTATTGCGGGACTGTAAAACAATGTATGTCAACTAAGCGAAAAGTCATATCATATCGTTGCAGGATCATATTTGCATTGGAAAGCTTCTTGAACAACTGCTGCATCTATTCAAGTGCAGTTTGCTGCTCGTGCGAATCATTTCTCATTTGAAAAACCGGCACTGTATATGTGGAATGTAGATTACGCAAAATGTTTTATGAGGCTGCCCGTAGACACCCAGTTTTGTCAGAAAACACAGTATCTGGAGATATCCGATGACGTTGTTCGATACTTTTAATACAATCCTTGTCATGTTTGTGCTTTTGACTCAGAGCTCCACCCATGCATGTGGTTTACAAGGGAAATCATAGCAAATATATGGACCTTGCTCATGAAATGCCACGCTAGGATCCTTATTACCAAGCTGATTAGGTTTAGAACCTCTCAATCACTTGACTCAGATTGGGAGAGGAACAGGGTTTGCATCTCTGGGATGTACTGAGTGATGAAGAAGGCTACATTGTTGCAGGGTCTTCCACTGAAAGGACCCAGGTTCAACGAAGCAGCGCTTCCTTCCAGATGTCCCTTTCGCTGTCTGAGTTGTGGGCAAACCCGAATAAGTCAAGATCATCTGCATCTTCTTTGCTGCGTTTATACATTGGTATTTGTAAAAACATATGATACTAACAAAAGTCATTCGGAGATGATATCTACCCCTGGTTTGGTGAAATTCGTGAAAGGAGGTTGGTACATATTACCAAACTTATGATTTACTGTCACTGTATTCCCCCAGTTTAATGGAGGAAGAATAATGATATTCAGTATCTTTCAATTACATAAATCAGCCCAAAGACTGGTGTAGACAGATATGTATGGCAAGGGTCATCAGAAATCATATAATAGTGCAGGAGTTTTGCCCAAGAAACTGAATAAGACCGACAAACAGATGGACTTGTTGATCGTCTTAACCTCACGATTTTACAATAGGGGTCATAATAAACATATTCATTATGGTTGTTGAAATTTGAAATTATGACTGGGGAGAATGAAACACTGAGTTGTTCATCAGGTACACGTGGGGATCGTTGCACTGTCCTCTGCTGGAGCTGCAATGTACAAACAACAAGTGTGATGGAAGGAATATTTATATTAATCAGTCAACCAACAGGGATGAATACTGTTGTAAAATACGGTACACGATCTAGGTGAGGGGCGGAGTTTAGTTTTACGCCGCTTTTAGCAATATTCCAGCAATATCACGGTGGGTACATTACACACGAACCAAACGTAAAGGTGACTTTTACTACTTTAATGCAACCCACACAACAAGGATGAAAATCAGATTTCAACCTTATCGGGAAACTAATCGAGCCTTATGTGGAACAATCTTTAAGGTACTTAGACCTATATAATTGGGTACGCGAATGCCTCTGTCACCTCACATGTGATGACTAGGACTAGCGGTTGTGTATAAAAACTCTTTACACCGTGGATATGAAGCCACAGCCTAGATTCGAAGCTTGACCACAGTTGCTGCAAGACAAACATTATCACTGACTTGCCTGCCTTTACAACTGCTATCCGATTTTATACTGCAATTGTAATGATACTGCCACTTAATCTACACTGCCACTCTTAGTGTACTGTCATTCAAATTACCTCGCAGTAATACGTATTGATTTTTTGTTTGTCAAACAATTATTGATTCAGATGTTTTCTTCGTTACATGTTATATTTGGGATTACACTTTCTGATTAAAGTACAAATTCTA